TTGGATTTTCAAGGCTGTCTCATACGAATCTACTGAACGAAGGGCTAGTGAATAGTGGATCAACGGCGATGATCATCCATATGATGACAACGGATCATTTAATCAATGTTCGGGAGGCTCTTCGTCCTTCATGGTGGCAAAGTGATTTAGAACTTTGGATTCCTACCCCAGACGACAGAGATTTGAATCTCCGCTGTTACTAGTTATTTTGATGGTAGACAGTAATCTTCTGCTTTTCCAAGTCCTTGAACATGGTTTTCGGTAAATTCTTAACGTCTAGTGGTGCTTTTGGCCGTGAGGTATACCCCTTTCCATTGCACTCATGCGCAAGCATGTATTGACAAGTGTACATTGTTGCAGAATAACAAGCAGTATCATGGCTGGTCCTCAGCTACCGCCAAAGCGATCACCATCCGTCTGAATAGCCCTAAGCTGTGCATCTAGAAGTAGCATATGAAATGCCTTATTCTACTCCTACCACTGACGGAGGATAACTTGACGAAATCTTAGTTTCATACAAACGATATGGTAACTAGCAAAGCATACTATCTATTGTGATGCCTTGAGCTTTGTCATTCTGTAGATACGAAATTAATGGTAACCATAATGACCAACTTTCCTGTAGTTTATTCTATTACATCAAATTCAGTATCCGTAAGATATGCTGTATTTATCCAGTTGAGAAGCACCAAAATAACGCTGATGTTTGTTTGCTGATAATCACTGCGAGGCCTAAATCCGCATTGATCATGTATTCAAACCGAAATGGGATTCGTTCCTGATTGCTATAGCATACTCCCCATTCTTTTTAACAAAATAAATGCTAAGTCAATGTCACAAATAAATGATGCTGCTAAAAGTCAGCCAAAATTTCGCTACACGTTTGAACACATTTCCAGTATGAGACCTCCAAGATTACAGAATTTTTCCACTTGGTTTATATTGTTGACAGAGAACTTCAGTTTTGGTGTTCGACCAACCCAGAGCTGCATAAGTATGTCGGGTTTTGGAGACATAAAAGGCATACAAACACATCCAAAGAGTTCTAAACGTCCAGCCACATACATAGGCTATCAATTAGAAGAAGTGAGCGGTCCGAACACTCCAGATGGGATAAACTGCAGCCTGAGAAAAGGTAAATGATATTATCCCCCCAAGATACGTAGCCGATCTCTTCAAGCACGAGGCTCATGGTGCTATACGTAAAGGGAGGAAAGAGAGAAGCCTGACAAACATCACTTTTATTGGCAAAACCGAGTGAAGGATCGTCGCACCGGCGAACACTGCCACAGTCACTCATGTACGTTATGCTCTCCGGTAGGGCATTCAATCCTGGAGAATTGTATTTTATGTTTACTACGGAAAAAGGCAGTAGTTAAGTTCCCAATAGATATGGTGCGTGCCAGGAAATTGACGCAGAAGTTTCTTCTCAATAGGAAGATTTTCAACAGCAGCAATTGCTAATTACGGTTCCAGAAGTCATCTACTTATCCGTAGAATGTGTCTAAAGCTGCTTATTTAGTCTGGTGACAGTTGGTGATACTTCAACGATGGATTTTATGACTGAAAAGAAATCTTTTGTTACAGCCTTTGGCAGGAGGAAGCACCATGGAAGTGAACGGCTAACTAAGTTGAGTGGCTTTTTAGGACAAAATGAAAAGTGCTAGGTGTGCCAACTTTCTATAAAAATTTATCGGGTAATGGAGATGTAAATAACAGCATCACCTGCGGTCTAAATCCAGTTTGATTCTCAAGCCCTCATTGTTCGCGATCTTCAGATAAGCGGTGGAAAATATTGAGGACGGGCAGTGTGGATGTGATTCACACACTATTTACTCACTCGCAACTTTACCAGGAGGGCATATTGGCTTTCTTATCATTTCATACTCTGCTCGATATAAACCAACTGTTTCGAAATTGAGCCTTCCCAACATGGTTGAGACCTCATCAGGATCCCGCGTGACGGCTTGCACGACCCTATAACCTGATGATATGTTTGAGGCCAGAATAGTTCCAAAAACACTAAATCATCCGTTGAGTAACAACTGTCCTTAGGACCAATCACTATGCCCATTGGAGAAAACAGTCTATCGAATGAACGTGGAGAAAATTGTTTACCGGTGAAAACTTACCACTAGATGACCGTCGTTATCTATTTCCTTGATTCGGCTGACGCACTTGCACAAGCACTGAACGCGTTTTTCCAGCTAGTAGATGTCATCCCAAAAAACTTACCGAGGTCCATGTTCTGTCCAGTATAAAAGGAGTGGGACATGGAAATCCTCTTCAACTATCTCCCGATCAGTCTGACCCTACTAGTACTGAGGGCCACTAAAGGAATTTTGATGGATAGAACATCGACCCGTCTAGCGACGATCTACCCAATGGTGACAACTCAACACGGTTTCTTTTAAATATATTCAGTTTTGACAAACCCGAACGGTCATCTTGACAGGGTAACCCATAGTTTTGGCAAGGGGGAACAGAGTTAAAGCATGCT